GTCTTTACTTTTTTGTTTGGTGGACCATAAATCTGTTTGTGACCAAATTTCTTCGGTTTTTTCACCCTTTTGCTCCTTATTAATTAATTAATAATTATTTTGTCACTGATTCAAAATTATTTATCAATCTGTCCCTCTTTAATCGACTACCTTGCTTTTTTAATCGACTAAATGGCCAAAACTGACAAAAAATGACTGTTGGGAGATTTAGTCGACTAAATCTCCATATTTAACAAAAAAAAAATAAGTCAGTATGATTTTAATCGATTAAGTAGGGAGATTTAGTCGATTAAATCTCCCAACAACCGTTTAGTTGATTAAACATGCAAAGTAGTCGATTAAAGAAGGGCAGATTGATAGATAGTTTCAAATCAGGAGCAAAATAATTATTAATTAATTAATAAAAGGCAAAAGGGTGAAAAAGCCAAATTTCTTCAATCAACCCCTTAAATACTTAGCCCATGTTTAATGGGCAACTTTACGTGCATAAAAAAATTTGTTATAATTTCCAAAAATAAATAAATAAATTTGTTATATTTATATTTCAAACAAAATACATGAATACATATCGATCACTAACTATTAAGGGTACTGATACTCTCCAAAAAGACAAATTACCGGAAAATTACCACTTAGTAAACTGTTGGCTTATTTATTTAATTAAATCGATCTAGCTAGTAATTCACTAGGACACGACAAATCGTATAGAATATAATAATAGGGGTGCTAAACGAACCAGGGACCTTTGACTCGGCTCGTGAAGGTCTGAGTTTACATGTCTAAAATTTGTTATTAGAATCAGACTTGGACTTGTATAAAAGCTCGTTTAATAAAAAGGCCTCAGACTCCAATTGAAAAGCTCGACCTTAAAGTCTCTCAGGCTGGCCTAGAATATTAATTTTTATTTTTATTTTATATTTTTTATACGGCTTGTAATAGCCTTTTCTCTCTCCTCAATCTATTTCGCATCATTTTATTGGTTAAAAACTTTTTGAATGATTTTGTTATATACTATGTTGTTTGGATATACATTGAATTTATGAATATTTATGGAATTATCAGTGTTTTGTTGATTGTATATTCTGTTTGGATAAATTTTTATTATCTTATTTGTTTTAAACAGGCTAAATCAAATTTTTATTTTTTTGTAAATAAGATAGGTCACAGGTCGATAATTATATTCATAACACGTAACAAGTTTGGTCAGACTAACATATTTAAATATAGACTTAATCTCTTAAGATCAAAGCCGGCTGGTTAACATCCCTGTATAATAACATGCGTGGCTCTTACGCAACTCCAAGACTTAACCAAGTTGTCAGTGAGCTCTTCTTCGTCTTTTTTTTTTTTCAATTTGTTTCATTGTTTCATCAAAACAGATGTTAAAATATATTTACTCTCTTACATAATAATATTAATTGTTTCATATTTTGGAAATAACATGTATGAGCTTCTTTTTATTTTATTTATTTTAACAGATAAGGTGGGAAACCACAGTTCTCGGTGTGCTCTTCATTGTTTTCCTGCAATTTGCCCGATACCGGGGGTACTGTTTGGTATGCAGATTATTTATAAATGTCCTGGAAAGCATAGTAGGAAAAATAGGAAACCCACCTTTGGTTGCCAAAAAGTAAAAAGTTTAGGAAATTACATTTTTCATGTACTATGAAACAAGTTCTCTTGTGTTAATAAATAAATAAAGTGAATCTCACTAATTTATTTATTTATTTTTTTAAAAAAAGAGACACATTTTTTAAAGTAAAATTAACATGAGATAACAATATTATGTAATGTAAGAGTATGATTTCCAATAAATTTAATGTCTATAAGTAGTTCAGTTTTTTTTTCATTTTTTTAATGATAATCTTTTTCTTCTTCCGAAAAACATGATGTAACTATTATGTTTGATTTATGGGTTTTATAATTCTCATTTAACATGAGAATTTGAATTTTCCTACACATCCTTCGATTTCCGTGTTAACGTGGGTCCTACACATAATTTTTTCTTACATACAAGTCCCACATGCTTTTTGTCTTTACAACATGAGAATTGAATTCTCATATTGAATAAGAAATATAAAACCCCTGATTTATTCATGTTAAGCTTTTTTAAAAAAATGATTTTTTATACATTATTTTTTTTAAAAGAATTTTTTTGAAAGATAAAGTTATTTTACATTTAGATGTTAGTTGTGTGTTAGGTGTTTGTAGTGTAGTGGTGTGTGTTCAATTTCTATGTAATGCAAAAAAAAAAAGATGTATGATTTAAAAATCACTTTTTTTATAAAAAAAGTTATTTGGATGTTAAAATAAAAAAGTACTTTTTATATATAAAATTACAATAAAAGAGAGATAAAATAACATGATCGTAGGATAAGGAGAGATAAAATATGTATGATAGGATGAAGTTAAAATTGTATTTTATATATTATCTTATTTTAAAAAAAATATTATATTATCTTTTAATTTCTGTTTTTTTCAAAAGCAACTAATTATTGACTAAAAAAAAGTAGTATTTTAACTTTTATTTTAAATTTTATCTTAAAAAAAAATTATTATTCAAACATCTAAAAATTCTTTAAAATTTTTAATTTAAAAAAAACTAATTTTTTTAAGAATAAAAGCTCGTTTGTATTTGATATGCAACTAAATGAAACTTATGAAATATTGACAATTCAACCAAAACCTGCCTCGTACAAGATTGATGGTGATGGTTGCCGCTCGAACCTGCCATTCTGCTGCCCTAGCAGACGTCCTACTATTACATCACAGAAAAGCAGACGTCCTACTATTACATCACTTATGGCCGGCAGTTTTTAGATAAGAGGCCCTTACAAAAAGTGGCAGGAATCCCGGCGCGGAAACCCCCTCCCAAAACTGTTGGCTTATTTATTTAACAAAAGCCTTTACTTGAAAATAAATTTTAAGAATATTAGAGAAATGTAATTATTAGATATCTAATAGATGAAGAAGTTAAAAAAAAGTAGGAACCACTCCACTTCATTTGCCTAAAAAAATATTGAAAAGAATGGAACCAAGCACCATCTTAGACTAATAAGTTTCTTCGACAACTGTGTTACTTTTTAATTATTTATTTATTTTTATTTTTTAAGTGATGAAGCTCATAAATTTATCTCTACGATATGATATAATTAACTTATATCCGTGAACATGATATTAATAAAATCATTTATTTAAGGGATATATTTTGCTTATGTTGTAGGAAAAGAATTACCTTATGTTGTAGAAACAAAAGTGTAAGTGGGACCCACATATAAGAGGAGAGGGAAAAAAAAAGTGGTGGGACCCAACCCTTTTTGTGTGTAGGAGAGATGTTTATCTCATGTAAAATGAGATAAACATAACCCTTTATTTAATTAATCGATCTAGCTAGTAATTCACTAGGACACGACAAATCGTATAGAATAAAATAACATGCATGGCTCTTACGCAACTCCAAGACTTAACCAAGTTGTCAGTGAGTTTTTTTTTTTTTTTTTAATTTGTTTCATTGCTTCATCAAAACAGATGTTAAAATATATTTACTCTCTTACATATTAACATTAATTGTTCCATATTTTGGAAGTAACGTGCATGAGCTTCTTTTTATTTTATTTATTTTAACAGATAAGGTGGAAAACCACAGTTCTTGGTGTGCTCTTCATTGTTTTCCTGCAATTTACCCGATACCCGGTAGTGTTTGGTATGCAGATTATTTATGAATGTCCTCGAAAGCATGGTAGGAAAAATAGGAAACCAGCCACGTTTGGTTGCGCAAAAAGTAGTAAAAGTTTCTTGCCCGGGGAAGTAAGATATAAACAACGATTAGGTGGACGGACGAGATTAACCCTCTGCTTTGTATAATTGGTGAAGTTGTGTTCGCAAATATCTGTACCAAAACCTAGCGCAGCTGCTACCTCCGTCAAAGCTTGCAGGTTACATTGGTTTTTGATTTTCTTGCTTATCATTGTTGTATGAGGCTTGCATGTGCACCTTGTATGGTACCAGTCGGTCGAGCATTTTTGCATGTTAACCTTGTATGGTCCATATTTTAACAAGACAAGCTTTCCATCTTGCATTCCATTCCAGTTCATCATTTCGTTTTTATGTTGGTCTTACTGGTGCATATGGTTTGTGGGTTTTTTTTTTTTTTTTTTTGTAATGACAGGTGATTTACGCTTTCATAAACCCAAGTAGAAGTTGTCGAAGCTGTGGAGTGGCCACTGTTTTTGTTATCTCCATATTCGTGGTGCAAGCTGTGGAAAATCGGGTAAAAAATCTGACTTGCTATGTCACCACATAGGTTTACTTACCTGCTGTTGTGTGTTTACTACCCAAATGTGGGCCAATTTGTGGTGCTGTTTGGTTTTTTTCTTTTCTTTGTTTTTTCTCTAAAATCTATATGTGCTTCAGATCATCTTTCTCTTTCCGTCCACCTCTAAACCCTTTTTCTTTCTCACGAATACGCATAATGCTCCATCCAATACAGAATACCGAGGAGAATATTTGCTGGTCTGTTTCCATTTGAAATTTCCCTAAAGAAAGAGAAAGAGAGAGAGAGAGAAGGGGGGGAGGGGGAATCTTTGACAGTGCAAGTGGAATTTTGACATTTTTTTTTTCGTCCTCCTTTTGCTCATTGGAATTTTTGTTTTCAAGGTATTGTTGATATTTTAGCAGTGCAATGCAGAAACAGGAAGCATTCAATTCCACAGTTGAATTAGCCAAAAAAATACAATTGAATCCAATGACTTCAAAGTTAGAATGCTCTCTTATAGCAAAGCAACTTGAAACATAATGTAATGTTAATAAAAATGCATGAGAGAAATGGTTTTGTTATGCCGTAAATTGATCTTCAAGAAACTGAGTATTGACTGGAGTTTGTGTTTCTGTTTCTATTGCTCTTCTATATATGATGCTTCTTCATTTTGTTCTGATTTTGTACGTTGTTGATATTTGGATTAATGTGAATTAATTTGACCTTGTCATGTTAGATTGTGGCAATGAACAACGGAATGGAGTTCGGTGTCATTGTTGTTCTCATGAGTCATTTGCAGTCTTTGAATCAATTGACTATGTTATTTGTGAGAATATGTGGTTTATTATTAGCCAACATTGAAAAAAGGAAAGCTACAAGGAAGAGAGGGACGTGGGATTTTTGCAGTAGGGCTTCGATAAGGGAAGTTAATCTGCAGAGAATAGTGTATATCACTGATACAGCTTGTATTGAGAATACAAGGATGGATCGGAGAAGTTTTCATAAATTGTGTGACTTACTTAAAACTGTTGGGATGCTTGAACCGTCCAAGCATATGGGTGTGGAAGAGGTGGTTGCAATCTTTCTTTACATATTGTCTCACGATGTTGAAACTCGGATAATTGAAAGAAAGTTTATGAGGTCTGATGAAACTATAAGCAGACAGTTCACGAAGGTGTTGCTGGCTGTGTTAAGATGTCATACTGTTCTACTCAAACGCCCTGAGCCCATCCCCGAAAACTCAACCAATGATAAGTGGAAATGGTTCAAGGTATCATACTACAATAGATCAAGCAATCTTTATAATTTTAAAATTTGTTGTGCATATTATATTGACTTGTGTTCTAATTTGGTGCTTTGGAATGACAGAATTGCCTAGGAGCTCTAGATGGGATCCACATCAAGGTAAATCCCCTAGAAGCTGATAAGCCTAGATACCGGACTAGGAAGGGTGAGATAGCAACAAACGTGTTGGGTGTTTGTTCACAAGATGCCCAATTTATTTTTGTTTTCACTGGATGGGAGGGATCGGCTGCAGATTCAAAGGTCCTCAGAGATGCTATATCTCGTAAGAACGGATTAAGGGTGCCAAAAGGTAAAAAACAAAAAACATAGTTCAAATTACCAAAATAATGACGTGTAACCACCTGTATTACAATGTTTCTAATTCCTTTGTTAAATTTTTGTAGGTTACTATTATCTATGCGATGCTAGTTACATGAATGGGGAAGGATTCCTTACACCTTATAGGGGGAAAAGATTTAGTGAGTGGAGACATGGGGCACAGCCAACAACACCACAAGAATTTTTTAACATGAAACACTCAAGTGCTAGGAATGTCATTGAACGATGTTTTGGAATGTTGAAGGGTCGTTGGGCGATTGTAATGTCAAAGTCCTTGTATCCAGTTAAAACGCAATGCAGGATAATCACTGCATGCTGCTTGCTCCATAATCATATTAGAAGAGAAATGCCAGTTGACCCTTTAGAGGATAATACGGGGGACATGGCAGTACCTGAAGATAATTTTCAAGGACATGAAATGATAAGTCATGTGGAGTCATCTAAAGCCTGGACACATTGGAGGGATGAAATGGCGCAGCAGATGTTTGACACGTGGAAGAATAATGTTTGATGCAGTTATTTATGCTATCATTGTTGATGTTGTTAAGTACTTTATGTTGTCTTTGTTGCAAATTAAAAGACTTGTGTGATTGTACGTTTTTTTTCGTGCAGAATTATGTAATAGACATCATATGCCATGATATGTATGGTAAGTTTGTAATTTAAATGACTATGCTTGTGTTGTAAACCATGATATGTATGGTAAGTTTTTGGAAGTTTGGCTAAGTGGATATATATAAAAGCTTTGGAGTCATGAGGACAGGCACTGCAGTATTGCAATTTTGGAGTTGGTACATGCTTATATTCTAATATGTATGGTAAGTGGTACCAACAAAAGGTGGCAACAGGTATGTTCTTTTTAATTTATGTTGGTCAATAGTCTTTTTCTCAATATCTTAGTTCTACTTACACTTGTTCAGAAAAAGACTTCATATAAGGTAGTTCCTCCGTATATATTTGTTGCTGTTTAAATTGTTGTCCAACACAGATGTGATATGTTATTGTTTTTTATCTGACTGTCTTATATGGCAACAGGTATGTTGAAAGTGCAGCTGATAAAGTGATTATAAAACATTTGCTGTCAAGGCCAAGTGAAGCTGTTTTGTGGTGAGATCGGATTTTTGTGGTTGATCTGCAGCAAAGATAGAGGAGAATATGGATTGAAAGAAACAAAGCACATACATGACTGCTAGAGATGCGAACTAACCGAAACAGAACCCTGCATCAGGGCCATTTGGCATATATGTATATCTGTTATATTGAATTAATGGTACAGCCATTCATTGGTCCTGTGAATGTATTTTGATAGTATTTTAAGTCTTTGTTATCTGTATAACTCTTGCAATGTATGAACTATTACAATTAAGATGATTGTGAATTATGAAATTATCGATTATTGTGTTCTGCACCTGTTTGGTTCACACATGAAATATGACTTCAGCATTGGAATAATTAAAGGCTCGGAATCAAAAGGAAATCTCTGAATGAATATAATGAACATCATAATTGCTTCATATTAATTGAATCACTGAAATATATTTGGTTGCTTGATAAGTTACACATCAGAATTGTACGTGACTATGAACAAAGTGTAATCAAAGATCAAAGTACACAAGGAAATTCCTATACAGCATACTACTCTTCTTGGACACATTCAGCCCTATGTATAAACTTATCAGATCCCTACTAGTTAAATGAATGACAGCTATTAAGATCCTCTTCCACAAATGTGACAAAGCGGAGATGCTTCATTATTCCCCAACAAGTGTTGCCTTCAGATTCTTCTTACATTATAATTTATCAGCAAATCACTGATACAACATCTGCAAGCTTATCAGGTACAGCAACTATGTTACTTTGCAGTGTTAGTCTTCCTCTGCAGGTGGTTGCAAGACCCTTCCTCTTGCGTCCCCATTGAGATGTAGAACCTATCTCTGGATTTGACTATGGTTGTTTCTCATTGGTAGCACCTACAGAATTAAAAGGATTGGTAGCATCTAACAACCCAAATAACACACTCAGGTTGGAAAAACTGGTTCATAAATTAAAGTCCAATGTATAGCAGCGGAAATGAAACGCCCCCAAGCTTGGTTTTTGTAAATAAATAACTGCAGAAAAAAGTAAGGGGTATTTCTCAAATGAAAAAAATAATTATTTTTTGTTATTGTAAATAAAAAAAAAATCTTTTGTTCCAGTTGAATTTTTAATACATTGGAAGTTAAAACCGAAGGCGTTTGGTTGAGTGTGTTATTTGGGTTGTTCAAAAGAAAGGGTGAGAGCCGCCGGCAGGGGTATTTGGATTGAGAGGAATGTGGCAAAAGGAAGGGAAATGAAAAGTGAAAGTTGTTCACTCTCCCATGTTTGGGTATTCTTTTGAGTACTTTATGAAGATTTTCTAATTACTATCTATTACATAGAATATTATATAGAATATACAATAATCATAATAGAATTTAGAAAGAAGAATGAAAAAAATTCTTATAATATATAATAATTAAAATGATAATAAGACAAGATTTTTTTTGAAATAAAAATAAATAGGAAATTCCCCTTAAATAAAACAGAAAGATATTTTTAGAGAATGCTCGGGCATAAGCAGAAATAGACATCTTTATCTTTGTTAAATGAAATATCTAATGAATCATCGTACATGTCAAGTACATTTCCATTTGAATTGGTAATCCTGCCGACAAATATAAACGATTATTAACGAAATAGTCATCAAATCGTATTACTGTATGTAATTATGCATTCGCAAATTTTTTTTATCTCTTTTGTAAATGGTTCGGTTAATAATAAATAAAAATGGAACAGTTCAATCTTTGCACAATACTTCTAGTTTAAAGTAAAAAAGGGCCAATACCGAAATTCTCGGTAAATAAAAAATAGATTTAAAATAAAAATTTGAATTTTTATTTTAGACAAAGGGAAAAGAAATGAAAAAGGTAATAAGGAATAAAAGTCACATAAAAAACATGAGAATGTCTTTCTACTTCGATGACCTCGCAAGCAGAGACAAAATTCTGCAATTTAAGCACACAAATGAATCAATTCAATCAATTAATGTGGAATTGACAATACAATAGAAATGGATAGATAGATAGAGAGAGAGAGAGAGAGAACCTTGTAAAAGTGATGAGTCCTTCACTGAGGCAAATAACAGAAAGTTGGTTAGAGAAAGGCAAACAAACCGGCGGGGAAGAAGAACAATATATCTTATCGAACCTTCGTGATGCCCTGTCCTCAAATCAAATATGCATAATTCTATCTGATACAAAAATCAGAAAAGATACAAATAATTAAACCGTGTTAGTTAGTCATCGTATGTTTGGAAAGTTAGTTATGAGAATTATCTTAACTAATATTAAATCATAAAATATATGAAAAAGTCTATCTCCAAATATTCCACTTCTCATGAAAGCTTATCTCCAAAGGTTTATCGAAGATTCAATTTCTGATAATGGCATATCTCCAAATTCAAAATTAAAATTGAGATATGAACGTTTGATCACTTGTTGATTGTAACTAGGAATCGTTCACTATAAATAGAAGACAATTAAACCCCCTGCATTTACTTCACCGTAAATATTGATAGATAAAAACTGACACCTTTTGGCTGTTCCGCTCCAAACCCCTCCCTGCACCAGAAACCCTGCTTCCCTTGCTCTGTTTGCTTTGCTTTGCCACCGTGACTCAAAAGATGTCTTCCAAACCCTTCAGGCCTTGCTCTTTGGACGTACTTATATATGTCCTTGCACCACATTATTATAATGCAGAAGAACTGGGTATGATTGAGAGTTTCCAAGAACAGCAACACCAACTACTGCATCTCCAACATGAAGAAGAGGCCAGTACGTCAAAGTCAAAGCCAAAGCCAAAGCCAGAGAAAGAAATAACGGTGACCCCAAAAAGGCAGCGCAAAATGCATGACGAGGAGGAAAGGCCCACTCCCTCATGGGCCTCGTCAGTGAATAAAAAACCAAGAAACACAAAGAATGCAGCACCACCATCTTCATCTTCATCTTCATCTTCATCTTCATCTTCATCGCCGCAGTCACCACTGCCACCGTCACCACCGTCGTCACCATCGCCACCGCCACCAGTACCAGCACCACCATCTTCATCTTCATCTTCATCTTCATCGCCGCTGCCACCACCGGTTCTGCCTGATGAATTCAAGAACCGTATGAGAGAGTTAAACGGCAGCGACGTGCAATTTGTGATGAGGAAGAATCTCTCCAAGACAGATCTGAGCGCGAATCACAACCGTCTATCAATGCCGATGAAAGAAATACGTTGCGATTTCCTGACTGAGGCTGAGAAGGCAACATTGCAAGAGAGAGAAAGCTGTAAAGGAAGACTTCGGGGTGTTGAAGTGAAGGTGTTGGATCCATCTCTCAGGGAATATACTTTGATACTGAAGAGGTGGGAGATGACGAGCACGAGCATCTACTGTCTCATCAAAGACTGGAAAATCGTTCTCTCTCATAACAGTTTGCAAGAAGGAGACCAACTTCAAATATGGAGTTCTAGAGTGGATGGCAAATTATTTCTTTTATTAAATAAACTCTGAACAAATTTAAAGCACACAGCGACATAGACACGTCACTATTGTCTGTCTTAGGGAATATAATATTAGGGAATGGAATATAGGTGGTGCTCTGAAAAATTGTTCAAATTGAAATTTGGTTTGTATTTCTTTTTATTTCTTTTTTGTTATGTGAGGATCCCTAGCAAATAAATGTATTGGGATTCCATGTTTTCCTTGCTTATAATAAAGTGAGATCCTACTTTCATTCTTTACTATAGCTTTTCCTTGATCAGTTGACCTTTCGCAATCATAAATTTCTTTACCATCTTATTAAGATAATTTTTTATGAAAACCCTGTGATAACCCGTTAAATTAGTAACAAGTGTGAGTGAGAAACCTGAATCATCTTTACCTTAATTTTAGGCTATGATTAAAAATTAGTACAAATCTTTCCAACACATGTCTAGTCTACCAATTGGAGGTGAAGCTCTACTCCTCCCTCATGCATGTGCGTCACATGCCTCAGAAAAATACATCACCAATTTATCCTCATCTCCACTCTTGTTCCATCTTTAAACTAAACCGCCTTCTCCTCCTCCCATCCGTGGCATTCACCTCCCCTTTTCCACCAAGAAAGTTGTCAAACACACTATTTGATACATGAAATGTTAAAAATTATTTAACAAATGAATAAGCTAATTTGATAGGACCAGGCCATTCCAATTCTAAAGAATGATAAATCTTGGAATGAAATGACATTCTACTGTTTAAAATTAAATTATTTTTAAATAACATAAATATCCTTGTGAGAAAACTAAATAGGATTTGTTTTGTCTATGCATAGGGAATGGAATATAGGTGTCCTAGGCTTGTGCCTAGTGTGTTTTAGTTTTGTTGTTTTGTCTTTTACTTTCCTTTTGTTTAAAAAAAAAAAATTGTATTTGTTTCTTTTTCTTTCTTTTTTTGTTATGTAGTGTTGGAAATAATCAAGTATGAGTTGTAAAGAAGTATCACATAGACTAGACATAGACCAAGTGATGACCATATAAGTGCAAAAGACCCATAAACCTACAGCCTTAAGATTTTGGGTTGAGATGTGGTGTCGGCCCACTTATTATGGTTTGTCATTTGGCCCATTGGTGGATGTACCCTTTGCAAAGGGTTTTGGGCTCCCTCGTTGCATTCCCAACAGTGGTATCAGAGCCAACGATCTGGGCCAAGTGTTTGGAAGGCCTCTGCAGAAGGCTAGTGTGACCTTAATAT